TGCGGCGCAGGCAGCGCGGGCGAGTGCGCCTGCAGCGCTGCGCTGGGCGGCCGGTGGCGCGCGCTCTTCTGGTGGGCGCGCAGGCCGGCCAGCTGCGAGTACGCGCTCTGGCACACCTGGCACTTGTAGGGGCGCTCGCCCGTGTGCAGGCGCACGTGATTGCGTAGCGTGGACGACTGGCTGAAGCGACGGTTGCAGAAGCGGCACACGAAGGGCTTGTCCAGCGTGTGGATGCGCATGTGCGAGCGCAGGTTGCTGCGCGAGTTGAAGCCGCGGTGGCAGATGACGCAGCGCATGCGGCCCGCGGTGCCCGCCGCCGAATCCGCCGGGTGGAAGTCCTCTGGCCGCGCGAGCGGGGCGCGAGGCCGACGGGGCGGGCAGGGAGGGGAGAAGAGAGGAACAGCCCCGTTAGAACCCGCGTCCGCCCCAGGCTCTCGGCGCCCTCCCCACCCACTGCCCGGCAGCCTCCGGCGCTGCGTGGGTCAGGGCTGACGGAGCCCTGCGCTGCCGACCGACTTAAGGGCCAGCTAAGGGCCTGGCTTGGGTCAAATGGGAGCTGGATGTCAGATCACGCTGGGAGACCAAGGGGACTTTGCGACTCAGCCTCACTAAACCTGAACTTACTCATCCCTAATATGGGAACCTGGTACTGTCTCTGCAGCTAGGCGCGATTTCCTGAAATGAGTAGGAAAACTGTCTATTAAGTTTTTTCTGTGCTAAGCTCTTTACCAACCTCAGCCTATGTATGACCTGGCTTACGGTATAAAGGATAGCAACTAAGAAACACCCCGCCGAGAAAAATAATTTATTCATCTCATAAATATTTACTGAGTGCCCTCTGTACCCATGAACTGCTCCTCAGTTTTGCCATCCCTGAAATGGAGGTAGTAATAGCGTTACCCCCCATTAAGTCGGTGGTAGGAATCAGAAATTAATGTTTGTAAAGCATTAGCTGCAGAACAATTGTTCCATAAACAGTAGTTAGTGAGCCGTAGGTCGTCGCTTATAATTAGGGATAATCAAATTTCACAAGGGTTTTTAAGCCCCCATTGGAATGATGCTCATCAAAGATTTTCATTTCTGACCCAAGGAAACCAGGGCTAGTCCAAAGCTTGGCACAACAAAAATCTCAAGCTAAAGAGCTCTGTTGTGATGGGCACTGTCCCTGGAGTCAGGCTGTGTGCTCTGCCCTCATTCCAGCAGTTCATTCCGAGCAGCTACTGTGTTCCTGGACAAGGAACCAGGCAGGACAGGCTGTGTGCAGAGTTGGAAGGGAACTTCGGGATCTCCTTGCCCAACACCTTTTCTTTATTGATGAGGAAATTGAGGCACAGAGCCATTCGCAAGATTGAACAGCAGAACTGGAACTCAATAAAGCCTCCTGCTGCCCTGTCCATTTCTCCTGCCATATCCCATCACCTCTCTAGGGCCAGCTAAGGGCCTGGCTTGGGTCAAATGGGAGCTGGATTTGACTAGGGTCTCCTGCACCTGCACCTGCACCTGCACCTGCCCCCAGACAACCTATTCTGGTCAGAAAGCAAGAGGATTGTCTTCCACCCACTCTTGGACCATGGTGGGCATTCCAGGAACACCAGGCGCATTGGGTCAGTAGGTCCCATCTGCTGGATGCCCATGAGGTTGAACCAGGTTCCCAGGAGGCTCCCTGCCCCTTCTTCCCCCTAGTGGAGGGATGCTCTGATGGGTCTTGTCTCTGTGGCCCTGTGGGGAATACCTACCATGTTTGTTCTTTTTCTGCTCCTCCTCCAGTCCTGGCACACCCGGGATGCCCAGGAAGGTGTTGTGGGAGTTTCCATACCACACCAGCAGCTCCTGATCCGGAGGGATCATCTGTAGGGATGGAGGTGAGAGGTCAGGGAGGCAGCAGATGGGGAGTGGGAGGCAGGAGTCTCTAAACATCCCCTCACGGCCAGGAGATGTGCATCCAGCCTCAGCCCCAAGAATGCCACACCTGCTCCATGTCCACTGATCTGCCCCAGCAAGCTGCACAGACTGGGCAGGTGCCGGGACATCACAGCCCTCTGCTCCCTCTCCCTGCCTGGACCTCCTGAACATCTCTGTCCTAACTCCACCGCAACAGAGTGTTCAAGCAACAGAAGCCTCACAGCGAATAGAAGTAACAGAAGATGGAAGCCAGAAAACTTCATTTCTTACCCAGGGAAAACAGCCAGCCCAGTGCTGCAGGGCTGAGCCAGATGTTTCGGAGGAGGAGGAGCGTGGGCTGGAGGGCGCCCTGTAGTGCTTGGTTACACCCTGTCTGATAATGTTCTGGAAACATCTCTAATCCTGAGCACCCACAGACGGCAGCACATCACACCTACTTCCCCTGCCCAGCACAGGGCCCTGCATGGCTCCAGTCATTTGGCAGATGCTAAAAAAGAAACTCAGGTTGACAAACACCTCCACTTCAGGAAGCACCAGGGTACACACAGCCTTCCACGAAGTCTATTTCAGCATGCTCTAGGTCCATGACCAAGAACTGATGATAGGACTCAGTTCCTCTCAGGGGAAGACCTGCATGGGAAATGGCTGTTGACTAACCAGGGAGACCAGCAGGCCTACTCCTGAGTCAGCACAGGGGGCCATCCCCAGGGGCCCTCTTGGCCTTTGGTGAAAGCCAGTTACCTCTCCCGAGTCGGGGGCCTTCAGCCCCAACCCAATCAGACACACAAGAGAAGGGACAGCCCATCATTCTCCTGAGGACCAGCCCCAGAAACATGGCTGTGGCACGTGCCCTGGGATTCCCTGAGGAACAGCCCCAGACAACAGCTGCTCTGTCTTCCTGGTGGGTCCTCTTTTAGTTGAAGCACAAAAAAATTTACATAGAATTCCACATAGGGGTGTCTGAAGCCCCCCTTGGTCTTCATGGGCAGGGAGTAGGCCCCCTCCTCTTCCGACTGGGTCCAGCCTGCAGAGCCCTGCCACACTCAGAACCCTTGGATTCACCTTGTTTTCCTTCCTCTGCTCAGAACCCAGAAGACCCTCAGACCATCCCAGCAAGCTCTGTGCTTGACCTTGACAGGAAGGAGCAGGAGAGGAGGAGTGGGGGCAGGGAGGCATGAGGGGCCTGGGCAACTGTATCCTCCTGAGACGGCCCAGGCCACCAGGCCCTTTCCCACTCAATCACAGGGCACCGCAGCCCATGACCAGTGAGTGACAAGATACCAGCAGAGAGTACCACACGTGCCGTGATTGCGTGGGGTTAAATGTGGAAACCAAGGGAAATTAGGCAGAGCTTCAAAGAAAGCAGGCAGTTTAGATTTGGGCACCACAGCCAGCGTCACTGTGGCCTCTCTGGTCATGGCTACTGTTCAAGAGGCCAGTGGGTCAGAGTTGGAGGCCCATGTTAGAAAAGGAACAAGAAAGAGTTTTTTTTTTTTTTTTTTTTTTTTTTTTTAAAGAGAGTGAGAGAGGAGAGGAGAGAGAGAGAGAGAGAGAGAGAGAATTTTTAATATTTATTTTTTAGTTCTCGGCAGACACAACATCTTTGTTGGTATGTGGTGCTGAGGATCGAACCTGGGTCGCACGCATGCCAGGCGAGCCTGCTACCGCTTGAGCCACATCCCCAGCCCCAAGAAAGAGGTTTTTGAACCCATCAGAAAAGTGGGTGATAGAACTCACAATAATTAAGATGCTTTGTATAAGAAGCTACTCTACAGGATGGTGCAGATGGGCTCTAAGTCACTGGGTCCCTGCATGACCTCGGGCAAGTCATTCTGCCTTTCTAAGGTTGTCTCCTAAAATGAGGATGGCATTAGGTCCCCCAACCCAATGAATCTGGTTGTAAGTTACCTCCAATATCATCCCATCCCCTGGCTTCAAGTCTCAGTGGAAACCTGACCCAACCGCCTGGGGCTTCCTCTAGATAGTCAGCTCCCCAAGCCAACTGCGCTTGCTCTCCAGAGACAACGCTGCAAGGGGTTTGGACTCAGCCTGGAGCCGGGCATGGCGGGGTCCACTCAGACTCCCCACCTGCTAAGTGAGTGACTTTGGCTGGCAGCTTCATGTCATGGGGTATCAGTTTCCTCCACTGTATGTATAATAGGGACAGTCTTGTTGCCCCAGCCTCCCTGCATGGTTGTTGGGGCAACAAGGCCGCTCGCAATAAAGCTCTGCACAATGAAGACACAGAAGGGCCAGTTATTATTTTCTCTGACTCACCCATCTCAGGGAGGCTGGCAGTGATCTGGCACATCATGTCCCTGCAGCAGTGCCCACAGAGCCTGCAAGGTGGTATGGGGCTGTTGACACAGTGAAAGCTCAGGGTGACTAGGGACTTTGCTCTCCGTGTGTCCAAATGCCTCAAAAACAATAGTCCCCCACCAGTATGTCTCAGTTGGCTAGCTCCATCTCCCAGGGATAGAAGCCCACCCCTCCAGGACCGCTATGGAAGGGAGGGTGGGCCAGCCCCGGCTGATGATGGTCTAAGTGAGGTCTCCACCTCCAGTCTTAAGGTCCGGGAATCAATTACTAAGTTGACACTGGCCTTTCTGTTTTAATTGAAAATAAAAACTATCATTAAATGCAAAATAAATGTAATAAAAAATAATAACAATGGGAATGGTGGATGAAGATCAGAACATCTTGGCTTGTTTTTCAGTACTGAGAATTGAACCCAGGAGCACCCTAGCCATGTAAGCTACCTCCCTAGCACCAACCCCCACCCCCGTGCTTTCTTTCTTTCTTGTTGAAAGTGAGGGTTTTGCTAAGTTTCTCAGGCTGGCCTTGAGCTTGTGATCCTCCTGCCTTAGCCTCCTGAGTCACTGGAATGACAGGTACATGCACGGTGCCCGGTTGAAGTCTTGCATATTCTTATTCAAAATTATTGTTTGTAATATAATATTTAAAATAAGTTCAATGGGAAGTTGTAGTATAAGGAGACTCATTTTTTACTAGAATATTTTTAATGTACTAAAATTAATTTTACTCATTAACCTAACAGTTAAAGCACATGGGCATAAATGTATAAGCATGCAACAGGGTAGATAAAAAAAAAGTAACTCTCCCACTCTGGATGCCCAGCTGCTGCCGCTGGTTCTCTAGGTGTCTTTCCCCAGAAGGATTTGATATGAAAAAAAATGCTGATTTGAGGTTTGAGCAGAGAAGCATCTTGGGATAGAGTGATTTCACTTTTACTTGATTCATCTGATTTTTTAAAAAGTAATGAGCACATCTATTTCTTATACACACACACAACAAAACAACGATTTTAAAAGAAGGAAAATCTATTACAAATAACTTACAGGGGACCAGGGTTGTGACTCACTGATACAGTGCTTGTCTCACATGCATGAGGCACTGGGTTCAATGCCTGGCACCACATAAAAGTAAAAAAATAAAAAATAAAATAAAGATATTGTGTTTAAAACTAGAACTAAAAAAAGAAAAGAAAAAAAAAAAAAAAAGAACCTACGGGAACTGAGCATAACACATTCCCCAGACGGCGGCAAGCCATCTTCGGAGGGCTGGGGTGGGCTGCCCCATCTGCACAAAGAAGGGGAACCAGGAGTTCCTCTGTCCTTCAGGGTCCTGGACCCTCGCCTCTGGGCTCCAACTGCTTCCAGGCATCCCGCATCCAACGAACTCCTGTGATCAAGCCCAGGAGGCCCTGGAACCTTCAGCTTCTAGTCCAAAATCCTGAGGCTTTCAATATCCCACCAACTAAGTGCAGGGAGTGCCTAGGTCCCCTGCAAGGGCCTGCGAGGGCTCCCGCTGCTGCCGCTCAGGCTGGTCCAGCCAGAATGTCTGGGGCTTGGAGAACCAGAATCAGCCAGTCATTTGCCTTTCTGGGGAGCAGAGATTGGCTCAGACACACCCTGATTAAAGCAATCCCCAGAGAACCAGTCCCGGTGTACAATCCACATCCTAAAACTTTGGGAGAAATGTCTATACCCAATCTTGTTTTGACAAATTTTAAGACCTCTGAGCTCATTCTCTGGAAACTTCCTGATCAGTCCAGTTTATCCGGCTCCACTTTTTGCATTTTTAGCTTAAATTGGAAATAATAGGCTTTGAGGTTTGTTTTCCTAATACAAATTCATGACACACCATTGACTATGTTCCCAGGAGACTCCGAGGCCCTCCCCTTCCCTGCATGGGTAGAAGCCCTGGTGTAGAAGGATCTCAGTGTCATCTGGCTGAACATCAATTTCCATTGTACACAGATGTCCTGACACACCAATTAATAGAGTTCCAGCAAATAGATATTGGCCAGGGAGGCCACACAGCCAGGCGATGAAGACCAGCTCTGCAGCCAGAGAGCCCTGGTTCTAATCACAGCTCAGCCTTCACCATAATCTCCAAACCTTAGTTTCATCCTCATTAAAATGGGGAGAGTGGGCTATGGTATAGCTCAGTGGTAGAGTGCTTGGTTAGCATGCACAGGCCCTGGGTTTAATCACTAGAACTCAAAATAAATGAGATAAAATGAAATGGGGATAGTAATAGCACTTCATGGGGCTGACCAGATTATATTTTTAAAAAGTGCATAGCTGGGGAGTAGTTCAGTAGTAGATTGCACAAGGCCCTGGGCTCAGTCCCCAGCACACCCCCCAAAAAAGTTTCTAAGACCTTTTAAAAAGGACCTAGGACAGTGCCAGCATATAGTAAATGCTCCACAGATGGTAACATTATTAGATTATTAGTGATGCTAACTATTACCAATCAGAGGAATTTAAGTGCATTCACCAATGAGCAAGGTCAAAAGGAAAATGGCATTTGTCCCCGTAGATCCAAGAATAACACCTGAATAGATTCAATCAGATGCAAAATTTTCCCACAGATTCATCTGTGCTTGGAAACCCCACAGCCTTTGTCTCCTTTGGGAGGGCTATGATTTTGTTTGGGAAAGTCTTAGTGCAGCAATAGTATATTGTGCTTATTGACTAAAGATGTCCTTCCCCCTTTTTGGCAAGTAGAGGGTTAGTGTTATGAAATATAAATAGCACTAGTGAGTGGCAGAAAGATTAAGAAAACAGATCACAGCAAAGGTCCTTCTCCTTGGCTAACCCCACATATTCGCAGAACAAACAGCTGATTTATTCCAGAGACATCTGGGGAGTGGCCTGGGTGGCAGCGATATGTCCAGTAGGGCTGCGTGAGTGCTGCGCCTCGGCCCTGCCCCGATGGTGGTCATGTGCAGCCTGACACACAATTGATCTGGTAAGTGTACTCTGACAATTTGACAAAATGGTTTTGAGAAAATTGCTACCTTGAAAAAAGTGCCCAACTTCATTCATGAAAAGTAATTTGGGGCATTCTGTATTTCCTTGTCCCTCCCTCTCTCAAACAGTTCCTTTTTCCTTTTTAGTAGTCTGTTTGGCCCTAAAAAGCATTAATAGCCACGTCAGAGGAACCTATCTGCAGCATCCATATCATATATACATCATATCCTTGCATCTACTTAAATTTCTGGTTAAATGTAGATGAACTTTCCCCCTGATCATATAAATTCCAATCCCTCCCTGGAGACATCCGTCAGTCATTTAGCCCTCTGACTCTGCGTTTCTGTATAAACATCTATTCATGTGTCTGGGCCCTGTTTGAATCTCCTGCTCCCGCACAGCAACGTGAGACTCAGACCCCATGTCTGCACCAGCCAGGAGTCCTCTTGCCAGGATGGCACAGGCATTGCTGGCCAGTGTCCCTGTTCACATGCATGTGTCTTCGTGAGAAGGGCAGAATGACGGTGCGGCCCTCCTACGTCAGGGCTGGGACAGAGGTGACTGTGGCAGTGTATAGAATAAGAGGGAGCCTTGGGAAGATGTGAGTGCTCAGGAGGATACACTCTGAAAACAGTGGGGTTCAGCTGCTCCCGAGGCCAATGCTAGGAGGTAGTGTTCCAGCAGGATGGTCACAGGAGCGACCCCTGTCCTGCCTAGGTCTCTCCTGATACCCACCCTATCCATCCTAGCTCTCCTCTTGGGGCTCCTGTGGAAGACCTGTTTGTTCATCTTTATATTTACCCTCTCTTTCTGGTCCACTGAGGCTCACCTCTAAGCTGGGACTCAGTTCCTGGTCACACCAGGCCCAAGCAAAGGCTGTCCTGTTATCATCCCTGGAGAGTCCCTGGGACCTGGTTATTTAGGGAGAATATGAGTCCCAGAAACTAGTAGGCCTGAGCACCCTGGGGCATCTTTAGAAAAGCTTGAGGTTCTGAGTCCCAGGGAGCAAAGGAAGGGGATTAAAGGGAAGTCCTTCTCTGGCTCCTCCAGACCACTTCTAAACCTCAACCAAGCTTCAGCCCCATCCCAAAGGGCCTTGCTTGCCCCTCCCCATGTAAGAACAGAAGCATAAGGTCCAGAGAAGAGTCATAGGACAGCCCCCACCATGCCACAGAGTACTCAGGCCCATCCCACTCTCTGGGACCAGACACAGAACCAAATTTCCCACCAGGGACCCTGACCGGGGAGAATGCCGGCTGCAGCCACCTCAGCTACTACCATTCTGCTCGCCCTACAGTAAGCATTACCATCCCCACCCACACTCCCTCAGCTTCTCTGCCCCTGCCCAGCATCTCCCTACCTGCCAGGAACACCTCCTTTCCCATCCTCCTCCTGACCTTTCCCAGGTGCTGCCCCTGGCTTAGCCCTCACCCCCTTCAAAAGCTCCTGGAACACCATGGAAAGGGGCATCTGTCCATCTGCCACCTTCCTTGCTTCTCTGAAAAAGCTCACAGCACAGTCATTAGTGCTGACATTTCCCCCAGAGTCCCTGCAAGAGCCCCCAGCTCTGCCTGCCGCCAAGTGAGACCTGGTTTCTGTGTCTGTAAACTCTACTAATCTCAATCCTCCCTGCAGGGCCATGTGAGGATTAGATGTGATAATGCATATCCAACGTCTGGGAGAAGCCTGACACAGCGAGCTATCGCCGACACTCAAGTCATGATCCACAAGTCACCAGCGAGCCATGCATGCAGAACAAGGGACAAGGCTCAGCTAAATGCTGGGCACGCATACGCCCTCTCCCACCCAAAAGCATTCCCCACCCTCCACTCCACATCTCCCTCTCTGGGTCTCTATGACTTTTGAACCCCAGCACGCCCTCAATCAATTCCCAAGAACTCACTATTGAGACTATTGAGACCTGGGACATTCACAGTGGCACAACATTGAAATCTCTACCTTTTCTGATCTGCAGCAAAAAGCCCCCCCCCATCAGAACATGCTTCTGAAGACCATGATGCATGAACTTCAGCCCTCCAGCCCATGCAGGACCAGCTGGGCCTGTGTCAATGCCCCTCAGTGCTCTGTGGTCCCAGAAGGCAGCTGCCTGGCACTCTCCCCACAGGGTTCCCACACTGGTTCCTGCACGACAGACAGTACACACACCTCGATGGCCTTGTAGAAGATGCTGGTGCCGATCTGGACCACCTCCAGATTCTGCTCCTGCTCATTCCGGGCACACTTGATGTAGGTCATCCAGCTTCGGTGGTCCTCCTGGCTGGCATCGATGAAGTAGCGCACTGTGCCATCCTCATTGAATACCTGGGCGCAGGTGGGGCAGGGAGCAGGTGAGGCAGGGCTGTGCCACATGTGTGGTTTGTGGTCAGGGTCAAGCCCCAGGCCAGCCATACTCTTACAACAGCCCCAGGAAGTGGAAAAAGTTATCATCACTTTTGTTTCCAGCTGAGGAAGGGGAGGCAAGGGGCGCAGTGATTGGCCTGAGTGTAGCCGGCTAGAGGTTGTCAACAGGAGCCTGTCTCCGGGGCTCTACAGGCTGACCACGCCATGCTCCTGCTGCCAGATACACTCCAGCCTCAGAAAATAAGGAGGTCTCCAAGATATCATTCCAAGGGATCTTCTGGAGGATGCAGAGGTACTCCCCAGAGCAATGAGGAGCATTGGCCAGGACCTAAGAGGGGGACACAGCAGCCTGGAGAGGAAGGCTGGTTCACTGTGGCACTGGTCTGGCCTAAGCCTTTTTCTGGGAGCTGCCAAGAGCACTCAGAGGTCAAACTACACCTTGACTTTCTGACCCAGCCACAACTGGAAAAGATAACCACTGGTCCAGGAAAGGAGTTAAGTGAGGAGAGGTCTCTGGGTCACCCCCCTGTTCCCTTCCTCCTGCTCTTGTGACCAGCTATAGGATTGCCTCATTGGGCTCCTCTAGGATCTGCCAGGTGGAACCCTGGGGGAGCCATAAGGGAGGGAAGGAGTGCACCATCTGGCCTGGGGGTTTTCAATTCTACTAGGTAAGGGCCCCAGAAGGAGGAATCACTGCAGGATGGCTTTGTCCTAAGGGAGGCCCTCCCTGCGTCTAACACTGTGAGGGTGGGGTAGGGTCAGGAGACCTGGAATGGAAAGCCCCTCTGAGCCTCAGTTTTCTTCAGTAAAGAGGAGATGATCACTCACAGGGCTGCTGAGATACCCCACGAATTACCAGCTGGGGATTCAGATACCGGTTCAATGCCAATCAGCAACCATCATTTTGGATGTTACTCTGCCTGGAGAGGGGAAGCCCGTTCTTAAGAAGGACAAACTTCTGCCATTTTCCATTCCAGACACCTTACCCCAGGTTGGGGCTCGACTTGAGGGTATTCCTTGCTACTTCTGTAGCCCGAGAAAGAATGTGGGTAGTGGGGAAGTCCTCCCCAGGGATGGCTTCTGAGCTGGCCTCAGGACCCAGATGGACTCTCCATCTCAGACCCTCCCTGTGAAATGGAGGCAACATCCTGGTACTCCGGGTTAGCCCGAGAAAGGAGGGTCAGATTTTTCCCCACTGTGGCCTACCCAGGGAGGGACCCCCAGGAAGAGAAAGCTCCATGCACACGGAGGTTTTAAGGGTCCTCCTCAGGGGCATCCAGGCCGCCAGTGACCTCAGCTCCCAACAAGAAAACGGGCAGCAATGGGGCCAGACTCTAGAGCCTATCTGCCCACAGCGGACAGCAATCCTTGCCTACCGCTGGCTCCTCTCCCCCAGTCCACTCTTACCTCCCACATCAGGTTGTTGTTCTTGCAGATGTCCACGTGCTCTGGAGCGATGACACGGCCTGTGAAGGGGCCCATCTCGGTGCCTGCTTTGATCCACGTCTTGGAGAAGATGCCAAGGCCCTCTCCAGGGATGGAACTCTGGGCGATGATCACCTCCACCGGTAGAACCAGGCTGGACAGCTTCTGCACCTCTGCCGCCAGATGCAGAGGAATCTGGTCAAAGCCTTCGCAGAGGAGGCCCAGCCCTTCTGGGCCCAGGACCCCTACCCAGGTCCTGCCCAACCCGGCCAACCCCAGCGGCCACAACTGCGGAGAAATCTCTCCAGTGATGGAGGAGTGGGCAAGCGCAGAGGCTCAGCGATCAGTCTCCTCTGTTTGCAACGAAGGACCCTTGGTACCCTCGAAAGCAAGTGGTGCGTTGGGGTTCGTTTCTAAGGGCGAATTTTTAGTTTCCACTTATTCTCAAAATATTCTCTACTCCGAAAGGTTTAAGAACTAATGCGCCGACCGCAGAACTCGGATTTACAGACGGGAAAACTGAGGCCTGGTCCCGCGAGGAGGTAACGACCAATCCGGGACTCTCGCCCAGTCCTGCTCCAGGCGCCGCAGCCGGTGAGTTCACGCGCAGTGCGCTTAGAGGCACAGGGCACGGGCGGAGGAGCCCGGACGTGGTCAGCACTGAGGACAGATCTCCGACTCCAAGATCGCAGAGGCGGAAAAGAAACACTGACAGTGAAGGGCTGGGCTGGGCTCTGGCTGTGTGACCCCGGGCAAGCCCTCCCTGCTCCTAGGCTCTGGGTGCCAGGGAGGGCGGCGCTGGACTCAGGCGGCTCTGAAGTCACCTCTCCCGGCCGGGAAGAGCCAGCGGCCCCCAACCTCCTGAGGGTCCCCCTGTTGGGCCTCTGCGGCCGGGGTGGGAGCGGAGAGGCATACAGGGGCGGCCTCCATGTCTTACAAGGTTCCCCTCTAAGCTACCTGGGAAAATACCCAGCGAGCAGACCGGCTGAAAGGGGGGGTTAAACGGTGTCCGTTGCGGCGCGGCTGGCAATTTGTCACGCTGTTAAAGTGATCGCATTCATTCGGCTCCATTCGAAAGAAATTGCTAATTCTAAATTCATTAGCCCTGGAAGAATGCTGTAGCAGTAAATTGTAGCTCAATGCGGAGGGGACTTGTTTAAAAGGGGCCGAGGAATTCCCCTTACAAAAAGGAGGGATTAGATGGTTGACATAGCGTGAATGGAAGTGGAATTAGTCTTCACGGTAAATTAAGAGAGGAACAGAAATCGTAAAGGGGGAAGAGAGGGCGACGCGCAGAGATGCCAGAGCCCGGGGAAAGATATTGTTTGTGGGTTGATGAATGAGGAATAAGAACTTGAGACATCTTAAAGAAAAGAAACTTTTCTCGCTCTCTTTCTCTCTCTAGCTCTCTGCGGCTTTTTCTCCCGGCCCGCCCGCCCTCGGCCCCCTCCCGGGCCCCCGCTGCCTTTTAAAGTTCTTGGTTTAAGTGGGAACTTTCGGGGGTCAAGCCCAAGTTAACTAAATGAATTTAAAACCCCTTCTTTTTGAGTCAACTGCTATTACACGCCTAGTAAGGCTTTAAATGCCGGGAACCGCCCGCTCAAGGCGGAGGGTGGGGTGAGGAGAGAGGGGCAGGGGAGCGCCCGGAGCGGTGGGGCCTGTGGCTGGGATCGGGTCCTTGAGAGCGCTGGGCGCTGGGCTGACCCCGGCCCCGCCCTGGCGTCGCTGCTTGAGTCCTGGTTTAACCCGGGGAAACTAAGTGGCGCGAGCACCCAGGTGGATCTGAGCTGCCACCAGGTCTGGTATCCCCGCTGTCTTCCTGTGGTGGCCATCCTGGGGGTTGGGGGTCCCCGGGAGGAGAGCATGGGATTAGCCTCGACGGCTCGACTCACCTCCAGAGAAGGACTGCGCCAGGACTTCAGCGGTGAAGGCCGTCTTGGGGCTGGCATGGTGACTCTTGTCCTCCAGGAGCTGTTCTCCCAGCACGTTGCGCCATCGGCCGTATAGGAAACTGTGCAGGATGTCGGAGGTGATGACCTCGGCTAGTGCCAGCCCCGGTGCTTTCAGCCCCGTCTTGAGCACCAGGGCTTCAGCCGGGAGCACGGAGCCCATCATGGGCGGCCCGGGGCTCGCCGGCGCCGGTGAAGGGCAGTCGGACAGATGCGCGGAGGTGGGCGGTGGAGAGGGGAGCCGAGGAGCGGAGGAAAGAGCTGAGACGGAGAAGGAGAATGATGTGGAGGAGGAGTATGCGGGAGGGAGTGGGTGGCGAGGGGGTGGCTGGGAGGAAAGTGAACGAGGGGGAGACAGGCAGAGAGGAAGAGAGAAATCTGCGGAGATGGCTGAGGCGGCGCAGAGGGCTGGAGAGGCGCGGGTGGAGGCAGAGGCGGGTGCGGGAGGTTCGGGGTAGGTGGGAGGCAGTGGATGCAGAGAAACGCCGGCGAGGGGCTCTGGACGCACGCTCGCCTCTCGCACACCCAGCCAGGACCGTCTTCCCCTTGGCAAAATCTCAGCGCCTTTATAGGAGCCGCAGTGACCCTCCTAATTGGTTATTAATGACCCCCTGACGTCGGAGGACAGACTTGTTGTACCCGGCCTGGCTCTGAGGAGCCTTCGCTGCGAGAGCGCGAGGGGCGGGGGCTCGAGGACTGCTCCGAACTGTTCCCCTCCGCATCTCCCTCCCCTCCCGGTTCTGCTCCCCCTCCTCTTCCTCCTCCTCTCCCCGTGGGAAGCGCCAGGCCGGGAGGGAGGCTCAGCCCGCTGGGAGTAGAGGAGGGGTCGGAGCAGGGGAGAGGCGCGGCGAAGCTCTCAGGGACTCCAGGGACTGGACAGGACTGGAGGGGACACATGGCCTCGGCCCCGTGGGCCAGCGGTCACCTCCTGTCCAGGCAAGATCCCTGCTCGCCATCCCGCCCGGGCCGTCACCTTCCCTCCACTGCCTTCCCTCACGGCTCGGCCAGCACTGCGCTCCCCTCCCTGGTCAGGACCAGGGCTTCGCCTTTCTTCCACACCCCATTCTCCGCGGGGCTCCACGCCCCCGGCTGCAATAGTTGCCCAGCGGCCCGCAGCTCCTGCTCAGACCACGCTAATCTGCGCAGACCGCGCTGCAGAAGCCGGGGTTTCGCTTTACACGGGCCGCGCCAACTGCCCTGCACGGTGCGCGCAGTCGGGTACAAAACATCTCCGACTTTGAGGGCTGCCGGGGCTGGGCCCCTGCTGCCGTCGGGGCTGGCTGGGTGTGTGGGCGGCCGGACTTCCTGCCCCAGGAGGGCTAGGTTGGGGGGTCTGGAGCGGCTGACCGAAATTCATACTGCCTGCCAGTTGCTTGCAAAAGGCTTTCCTGTGGGATACCATGAGTCCCAAAAGGGGTCCCTGGACTTGTCGTGGGTGGAAACTGCCGAGCCTCAGAGTGAACCCCCTCCGAAGCCTCCAGTTGCGCGGCGACGGGTCGCGGTGCAGCGTCGCTGGCGACTCAGCCTCCGAGATACATCCTGGGGAAGCCGGCTGCGTCCTCTCTCCTCCTGGCTCCTAGCTTTCTCATCGGCCACTCCCCTTCTCCTTCCTCCCTTTCCCCCTCTCCTACTTCACCCCAGTAATAGACTTTCTGGCCCGATGCTTACAAGATACTTGGGATTGCCTCTCCTGAAACCGGAGTTACTGAGCCCAAACCAAGGTGGGAAAGCCACAACTTCTTGCAGGCTTGGCTGCCTCTGGGATTAACCACACGCCCGCCTCCGATCCCAGCCCCAGACACACTTCGTGATGGGGGACATTAGGAACATTCCCTCAACTGCCAAAGTCCTTGGCCCTCCCACCCCCACACTTGTGAAGTTCACTTAAGATGCCGCAGAGGGAAGTGTTCTGCACCTTCCCAGCTAGTTTGGGCTCATAGATTAGGTCTCAATCGGACATTGCCAACAACTCAGAACTTCCTTGAAGTTCACGAACTTGGTTGGAGGAAAGGTGACCTGTACTCCCACAAACCAGACTCTGTCTCAATACCCTTTGGATAAAAACCCCGCTGGGCCGTTGCTAAATCTGCCTCAACCTGGCAGCCATGGATCCCAGGCCCAGGCACTCCAGTTTTGGCCTGTGGTCTCTGACATTCGGGTCCTGCCTGGGAACATTGAGAAGGGAAGGCACCCAGAGAGTCTTCAGACCCTGCACCCAGATCCACCGTAGCCTGGCGTCCAGGGCAGGCACCGCAGAAAGCAGAACCATCGGGCACCGCGCCAGCAGAGGGCAGCCCTGCGGAGGAGCAAGCGCAGCCGGCAAGGTAGGGTCCCAGCACCTCCACTCCCTTCCGGATGCCGCCAGCAGGACTCGCTAGTTCACTCCTGAGGGCTCAAATCTGGAAGGGGCGATTAGAATCCAATGGTTTATGGCAAGAAGACCTAACTGGCGCCTGGGCCTTGGCTTCTACTAGACTAAATGGAGAGGAGAATGCGCCAGGGTACAGGAAAGGAGACTACGTCGGGGAGCAGTGCTGGCAAACCTGCTCTCGGCTCCCAGGGCCGGAAACCTACTTCATGGCTCGCAAGAACGGATACGCGTTCTTCTCTCTAGGCCTCAGTGTTCCTGTCTGTGCAATGGTTTGGGTCGTACTTTGTGGACTGAGGTTTCTTCCTACCTTGCCTCTCTTTGGGTCAGGTCACTTCCCCCTCCCCCAAATCCTGAGGATTTTGACATTCCCATGACGCTCCCCACTGAGAAAAGCCCTCAGGTCTGTGCGTCCTTCCGCTCCGCTCCGGGGGCGCAGTATTTGGGTCCTAGATCCCAGTTTGAGGACAGAAGATGCAAGGACCCTGGGCTCCGCAGTGGCCAGGGAGTCCCATTCCCTTGCTCTGCTCGGAATCAGCAAACCTGGCAGGCAGGGAGGGCCAGAAGCAAAGGTCAGAACAACCTTCCAGCAGGCAGGCCCGCAGATCTGGGGTGTCTCCAGGGCGCTTTCGCATTTTGAGTTTCTGGCTTAGCAGTACCTTCTCCCGGGCGCGCCCCTAGGAAAGGGAGCTCCTAGCCTCAGGGCCCATTGGGATTGGGGAGCAAGGCCCCTGAGTTCGCTTCGCGTGGTGATGTGGAGGGGAAACATCACATGTTCCAGGGTTCCAGCGGATGAACCGCGTCGTTTTCTTCAGGGCCCAGGCGCAGTGTGTGCCCGCGCCGAAGACCCCTCCCTTGGACCGGCCGGCCGGAGCTGGCAGGCGCCCCCCCACCCTCGCGCCCACGGGCCGCCGCTCCGCGATCTCTTTAATATTCATGGGCGTTAATAGAGAAGCCCCCAGTATATCGGCCCATTGTGGGCGGCTCGTAGGGCTTGAATAGGCCTCGGCCCCCTTTCTTCAGTAGGGCTTCCCGAGGGGCCGGGCCAGGAGTGAATGGCCCCCGCTTCCCGCTCCGCGCCCCCTCCCCCTTTCAGGGAGAACATCTTTATCCCCGCCGCCGCCGCCACCGCTGCCGCCCGGGCCCCCGGTCCCGGCTCCGAGCGGAACGAATCAATCGGCCGCGGCTCTTCGGAGGTCATCCTCACAGCCCGGTTCCCCTTCCCCCCTAGCCCACGGGAGTAGGAGAGAGGGAGGCAGAGGCAGGCCGACAGACCCAGGGACTGGGGGACACTCGGGAGCCGGTGTGGAAGAGAAGAGCAGGGGCGACCAAAAGGGAGAGTGGGGGCCGGAGGGCGTGAGGAGGGGCTGGGGCCCTGCGGCCGCCCGGCGCCTGCTGATTTCTACTTGTTGCCTAGCGCAAGGCGGAACGCCGAGGGGACCCGCCGGTGGCCCTCCTTCAGTGACGCGTCCTGCCTCCGGTAGAGGCCCCAGCGCGCACCCATTCAGGCCCCGCATGGCACCCACGAGACACAGAGCGCTGGGGAGCAGCCCGAGGCTCCCAGTCTCGGCACATCAGCCGGCGGGGCACTTTCGTTCTCGTCGGTGCGTCGCGACGGTCCTCTCAGGCCCGGACACGCACTTCAGTGGGACGTCTGGAGCGGAGGCCAGGTTCCCGGCTCCTGCGCCCGCTCTCCGCGGCTGGGCCCGGGTGCCTGGGGGCGCGAGTTGATCAGGCGGGGCCAAAGCGCACGGGTCCCCGCCCCTGCCGCCCCGCCGGCCTGGGGAGGCACAGAAAGAAGCCCATTGTCCGCGGAGAAATACATTTTTGGGGGCTGAGTGAAAGCCCCTTTCTTTTGAACTTTAGAAGAAAGTCTCCGGCCCTCGCCCCTCGGAGGGAGAGATTTGTCTCCTCCCTCCCGGGGGCTCCGCTCGCCTCCTCCTCCCGAAACATCTGCCGGGCGAAAATCCACCCTGGAGGGCAGATCTCTCTGGCTTTAAGCCCCGCGAACTCATTAAAAAGATATTAGCGACGGGGGCAGGTCCCGCGCAGGTATCGATCGACCGGAATGAGCCCGAGGAAAAAAGGCGAAGAATGTGGCCGCGCCTGGAACCCCCACCCGGGTCCCCAGCCCCCTGCGCCCCAACCCTGCGGCGGGAGTGGGGCCCCCGCGCCCCCCTGCGTCGTCCGCGCGTCCCTCCTCATTTGGTGGCTTCTCGATAGCCCCTCCCGCGACTCGGTCCTTGCTTGCTCGGGTTTCCGTCTGCTCCCTGCGCTCCGAGTGCACTTGCTGCCGTCGCGCTGTCCCTACCTCTTGTCCCCCGCCCCCCACCCTACCCCGTCTCCACCTCTCCTCCCTTCCTCCGCAATGTCCTCTTTCGCCTGCGCTCTGAGACCCTCTCCCGCTTTCTCACACACTCTCAGCTTCCTCCTCCCACGTCTCTCTCTCGACGAGTCTCAGTCTTTCTTTTCTCCATTCCTGCGGTGGCCCAGGAAATTCTCTCCTTGCTTGGGGCCCATGTGTCCGGTCCCACCCATCCCGGGTTCCCGTAGGACGGTGCAGGGCTCCAGGGCGCCCCCTGCGGCGCGGACAAAGGCGCGACCCGCTGCCCATGTGGTGTGGGACCTCGGGCGGCTGGACCAGCTTCAATAGACGTGACTTGGGACCAGCCCAGCCTGCTGCCCGGCTGCCCGGCAGAGTAGCGGACGTGAAGCGGTGAATAGGGACAGCGGTCTCCCCTCCCCCGCAGCCTCACTCCTACCCTATCTAATTAGCCTCGGAGGCCTACGGCGAGACAAAGGCGCGCCCCGGGGTTCCCACGTCGAGCCTGACCAACTCCGAGCTGGCGCCCGGGCCCGGGCCGGAAGGTGACTGGCACGCGAGTCTCCCTGGACGTCCAGGGCCGGTGGCTTTTCCCCTGGGCCTCTCAAAACAACGCCCCTCACCACCATCGCCCATGCCCCATCCCCCAGGCCAGCGGATGCCAGCGCTACGGCCCTGGCCCGACCAAGGCAAGAGGCGCTGGGTCAGGCTTGGAAGTCAGGAGAGACAGAGGCAGAGGGGGCGGCGGAGGAGAGAGACTTGTGTAAAGAGAGGCCAATGTGGAAAGCTCAGATACAGTCAAAACATGAGAAGTGGAGACAGAAAGACAGATGAAGGGAGCTGAGGCAGGGGATTGCAGAAGAGCCTGAGGAGGCAGAGAGGGAGGATTGAGGGCATCAGACACACAGGCCTCCCCGACATCTCCCCAGCTCTCACGGCTCCGTCTGCGCAGCTGCCTGCTGCTCCTGTGAGTCTCAGGGTGGCCAGAAGGAGCCATCTCCCGCCATCATATCCTTTCCTCCACCAGAGCCCCTTCCCACCCCACCAGCCACCTCCTGGGCCCTCAAGGCTTCCTGCCTCCTGGTCCTCATGCCAGTCCTCCTCCTGCCTGGAGCTTCCTCTCTGACGTTGTCTGGGAGCAGAGGAGTCTAGAGCTGTCAGGGTGCACTTACTGCATCTGGACCTTCTCTTGCCTCACCTGGAATCCTGGAGGCTTCTGGTCATTCCTGTCTTCTATAAATACTTACTGAGGACCTAATGTGTGCCACACCCTGTACAGGACCCTGGGGCACCATGGTGACCAGGGCAGAACCAGTCCTTGGTCTGTCTATCCAGCTTCTGCCAGGGTGCACCCTGGTGGGCCAGAGGTGGTGGTAACTTGTTTTATACCACCTGACCCTTGGTCTCCTGGGCAACTATGAGGGCCTGGACATAATGGATGCTCTGCCAGTGACAGACAGCTCTCTGGAGGACTCCTGTCCCTGTGTCTTCCTCTTCATCTGCAGAGTGGGAATAAGGACCTGCCCTGCAGTGAAGCTTGTTATGAGCTGAGCTGCGCAGTGGACACTGAGGTGACATTGAGGCTGCTATTGCTATTATTTTCCCTGTTTCGTGACCACTTGGCCCATGTGTATGGATCATCTGGGCCCATAAGAAAATGCCAAGAGCCCCAGAGATCTGCAGATGTGTATTGGAAACAAGGTACCCATTCTCCTCTCTGAGCTTTAGTCTCTTTATCTGCAAAATGGGGTTAACAATAGAACCTCCACTGGGAGGGCTGTGGTGAGGGACAGAGGACACAGCATGGAAAGCTCATAGGACTGTCATCCCAGGCTGAGGCAGGAAGACAGCAGATTTGAAGCCAGCTTGCACAATTTAGGGATAACTTGTCTCAAAATAAAAAGGGCTAGGGTGCAGCTGTGGTAGAGCACCCTGGGCCCAATCCCCAGTACAAAAAAGTGAAGGAAGAGGGGAAGCCAAAACCAAACCAATACCAGCACCAACAACACATGCAGTTTTGGGAACTATGAAGGTACAATGGTATACACCAAATATTGCTGGGGTCCCTCCTCAAGGCTGAGAGCGCCTCTAGGCCTAGGGGCTTGTCCTGGCCCCCAGTGTCCCCAGGGCCAGTACCAGGGGTACACATTGGTGAGTGCATGATGGGTGGGTCAATGGCCCCCGGGTGGCAGGAGCAGGTTCCAGGACTGTGAGGCCTCCAGTCTTGCTGGCCTGTTCTGGCAGGCATGTGAGGTCTCTGATCCAGGGAGGAGAGTCCACCGTCTTGGAAGATGCAGCACTTCTTGGAAAATGCAGGCCAGGGCAGCCCAGATCCTCCGAGCCCTGGTCACAGCCAGGGTAAGGGGGGAGATCTGAGGCCCTGCAAAAACGCCCCAGGGGATAGGTGCAGGAGCCAGAGGGAGAGGAGCCCCCTGCAGTGTCCTCCCAAGGACCTTGGCTTCTCCCCCTCTACAACCAGGGCCTCAGACTTTCCCAAACCTCTACCTCATGCCTCACCCCCACCCACAACATGGAACCTCTCCCCAGAGCACCGTTACCATCCTTACCACCCCAGCGCTAGGACTGGCCCAAGCATGGAGGGTCTCTGGTTCTGCTCTCTGAGACTTCTGTTTCCGTCCTGTGTTAAGCACTGGGTGATGCACATGCCAAACAACTCTGAGGTCGATTCCACGGTCACCGCTCTAAAGAGGAGGAAACAGGTACAGCCAGGGTAATGAATGTCCTCGAAGCCTGTGCCCTCCTGGGGCCTCACCAGCTCTCTACAGCCCAGAGAACAAAACTCCTCAGGTGGCCTCTTCACATCACAGAGTCCCACGCTCTCAACTATTGATGTGTCAAGGGCTGGGGTGTGGCTCCATGGTAGAGCACTTGCCTAGAGTGTCAAAGCCCTGGGTTCCATCTCCAGCATTTGAAAAAGAAAAGAAAAAGAAAGGGTGCAATCCCGCCTGGATGAAGACTTGTATTTACTAACTGATTGCAAGGCTGGCTTGAACCGAGAGCTTTGCGCACACACTCTGCCACCTGAGATTTTACATTGTAGAATGAATTTTCTGCCTTTACTCCCTCCCAACTCTCCCCTCCTCTCTGTCTGGATCCATACCCTGACCATCAGGATGACAAACTTCTGCAAAGACCAGTTAAATTACTTGCAGTTGCAATGAAAGGGATATTTACTGCTCCAAATATCCAGCAAATTACAGTTGTATTTATTTCAGAAACTTCTGAGTACTCCAGAATCTCTGTCTTGTCTGTCCTTCCTCCCTCCTTCCCTCCCTTCCTCCCTCCCTCCCTCCCTCC